GCATATTCGGCCTAAATGCCTCGATATGAGGGCTGGGGTGCAGTTGGGAACACGCTACGTTTTGAGTCGGGGTATTTGAGGCACTGTTAGCCGAGTGTGGAGGAAAAGATTTTATAATGGTGCTGGATTTATCGGGTGTCCGAGTGGCTGAGACAGCAATTGGATTTGCCTTTGACTTAGACACATGCTTAGGCTTACTAGGGGTTACTGGGGGAGTCGATAGAGGCGTGTTTATACCAGGCGTGATGGTGTGTTTAAAGAGCTCAGCATTAAAAGTAGTCGAATTCCCTACGGAATTGACTATGATCTGATGAGCAGATGCCGCAGATGGTTTAGTAGAGGACTTATTCAGACTGACAGTAGGTGTCATTATCTTGGTGCTGGTTTATGCCGATTTTTATTTATTCAGTCTTCGCTGCGTGGGTGTGATGTCTGGCGAAACGGACCAGCGCCATTTACGGCAGAAGTCTCTAGTCATCTCCCCCCTTGACAAGATAAAATCGACTTCTATCATGGAGGAAAAGGGTAACTAATATCGGCGCATTACGGCTTAGCGAGCGAAGTCGCTTAGCTTGTGTGACATTGAAACTCAAGCCACAACTTTGTAGGAACAAATGCGCTCCCTCCATAGCAGATAAGTGGCTCGGAATGTTTCGCAGTACGAAATTATGCTTGCGCTTAATTCTTTCCCTCAGTTTCCGAACTGATTACCCCAATAAGTTTAAAAGCTTGTTCAATTACTTTTTCAGAAGTGCTGCTTATGTCGCCATAAATCAACTGGTCGACTATTTCGCAGGCTGATGGCCGGCTACGACTAGCAGAGGCGTATTTTTGGACGAATGAGGGCTCAAGAGGTTCTATATGTACTTAAGGGATTTGTGAGTTAATCAGATCGGCGGACGGCGAAGAACATACGCTGGCACCTGCTATGTCTTCAGTCGCGATTTTAGCACCCAGAGACGGTGGGGAGGCCGCAAGCTTTCGCCGTTCAGCACGTGCTCAGACAAGAAAAGTTTTTCGTTACAGAAGAAGGGTCAACACGTTGACAACGTTCGGAAAATCGCACTTTATTGCAAGTGCTACTGTTATTTAACTACGAAAAATAGAAAGAGATAGTAGGGAAAGTAGTCACTACAAAGGTTTTTTTTACAAAATACGACTATTTTGCAAAACTGTCAAATAAAACTGGGAAAAATTATATCTTGTATTGAAAGGCGACTTTTAAAAGGGACTCAAGTAAAAAAAACAGGCATTAATTGCTTAAGAATATCCAGATAAACGCAAAGCTTCACTTTTTCTTTGAAATTGAGCTGCGCGGTTTAACATCCAAGACAGAGGGTATGGACTCCTTATACTGCGTAAATTCCTGTCCCTACATATGCGACTACTCTTTCGCCCTGTCAAGTTTGACTGTCTCTGCGAAAAAGACTTTTTCACAGATATTCGGATACCGTCATCTAGGAAAACAATAGTTTCTATTTATCTGGCTCCATAACACTCCAAATTCGCATTTTTTGTGGAGTTTGTTGGCTCGTTACTATTTCCTTTTCACTATGTTACACTCGCTGCTGTTACAGGTATGCGGTTAAACTCTGAGATCTAACCTAGCTTCGTGAGCTAACAAGGTACAACAATCACAAAAACTTAGCCAAATTGAAACGCACATTTTAAAACGGTGTGTGCTGATAATTTTGGAGTCGCTCTGACTATCGAGGAATCGCTGTATATTTTTTGCCGCTGTTCGCACCGTCTTGTTAAATGCTTCAGAAAATACTTTTTCATCTTATTCTTTTGAGATATGAGATTGCAGACGGAATTAAAATATGTAAGCAATTTTCCGTGTAGTGAAATCGTAAGTCTCTCAAACACAGCAGCTTGCGCCCGTCTTAATGAAACCGTTTACCACTAACCGCGACATGAGGATTGTGCGTGTCATGGCTCCTCTACACACTCTAGCGTTAAATGTGGAAATTTCTGCTAATAAGGCAGATGAGTGTGACAGCCTTGTTACTGAAATGTGAGTTTACATTTTTTCATTTAAATTCGTTGTTTGAAGGAACATTTGGCCGAGACGTTTGCCGGTAGTGAGACCTTTTCAAGTACCTCTTCTATCGTTTACCTTCCCTTCTGCTGAGTCGACCAGCTTTGTTGGTTCTCTAGAGAACCAACAAAGCTGACGTATTAGTTTCGCGAGGTCCCAGGGGACCTCGCGAAACTAATACGTCAGCATCTTTGTCCGGCATATATAAACTAAATTTTCCCGTTTATGCTAGAGAAGTCGGGGAATGGTTTATTGCCGTATATGTTAGTGATACATCCAACACGGTAAGTAAAATGCTACTGGTGTCTTTCCATTTTATTAATCGTTCTGATTCATTCCGT